CTGATCAGTTTCAGCAGCAGCTGACTTGGGGACGCCTGGGTTTCTTAAGTTGAATCTGTATGTAAGTCAGAACTGGCATCCAGATTCAGCCGCGGTTGAAACTGATCAGTTTCAGCAGCGGCTGACGCCAGTTCCGACTTACATACAGATTCAACTTAAGAACAAACCTACAGTCCCTATCTTGTACGTAACTCGGGGACTGCCTGTACCTGCTTTATATCCACAAATATCTGCGTCTGTATGGATCATTTTCATGGATCACAGATTGGATATGGATACAAATGTTATTTCTGCATAGGGCTCTACTGGTGCATAACAGTTATAATGGATTATGTCCATTCCAGATTGTTCAATATTAAGTTGTACTTTATGTAGCATCTTGGGTTCTGGACATAATCATCACTTGAGGATTTGGAGCTGGTTTTCAGAAAGCCAAAGTATGTCTTTCAAATACAGTTGCATATGTGCCTGCTTTGTATTTGCAATGACTGCAACTGTGCCGTGACCTGACCTCTCTGAAATTCAAGCCTGAAATCATAACTGACCAATCAAAGTTGAGACTCTTAGTTATGTAATATGTACCCTTTCTAGTTAATAAAACAGTTGGTCACCAGAATTGGGTTTTGAGACTTGTGAACCCTCAAAATGCCTCCCCTAGAAATATGAAAGAGAATCTCAACTTTCTTATTTTTTAAAGTAGTTTTCTGGACCTTTTCTTTGCAAAGATCACTTATAAGAAGTAAATCAATGTAATGTAATGAAGATAAAATGCAATGAAAGTATAAACCAATATAACTGCTTTGCTGGGTTTGAAAGCTCATCACTGACTTTTCTTAACAATATTAAAGGTTGCTGTTTTTTCTCGTCCACTGAATGAACTGTGAATAGATGGAGACATGTTACAGGCCTGGAAAGAACTAAAGCACTTTCATGGTGATTACCCATTTATTTCCCTTCAAAACAATCTGCTGTCCACCTGTAGTGGAGAGTAGAAATTGTGGTAAGTCCTCTCTAAAGCACAAAAAGTTGATGTTTTTTAAATCCTGTTAGCTAATTCAAGTTAAAGGTTATTTCAAACCACAATAGTTAACAGCTTATGTAGATACTGTCAGTATTGAACATCTTTAAAGTTACAATATGGCCAGCCAGCATGATTTTATAGGTAGCAAATGCTATGCCTACATGAGGAGTTAAGAGATGTTTCAAACTAGATCCACAAACTTTGGTTAGCCAAGACACATTCATAGATTCCAACACCAGAAGGGACCATTCTGATCATCTATTCCGACCTCCTGTAGCACACAAGCCATTGAACTTCCCCCTAATTCCTGACTTTGCCTAGATTCAACTTCCTGCCACCAGACTGTGTTATACCTTTCTCTGCTAGACTGAAGAAACTTCAGATCTCTGTTTCCCACATAGGTACTTATAGACCGTGATGAAATCACTCCCTATGATTTTCATTTATGCTACATAGACCAAGACCCCTGGATCTATCACTGTGTACTGCATGTCTTCTAATCCTTTATTCTTGCTCTTTTTTGCTGAACCATCACCAATTTAAAGTTTATTTTTTTAGCCCACAATTTGGGCTAAAATTGCCTATTTGTTCCATTACATCTATGTCAGATTACAATATTTTTTTAAAGATTAAAAGAAGAACATTTCAACTGAAATGTTACATGATACATCATGGGTTATAGTACCATGTGGTGAAGAATACCTATAATGGATGGTGATCTCAGCATTGGAATGTTTATACAAGTCCTAAAAAAAAATCCAAACCATATATTGTCCTAAAAAACCCCCCAAAACTTCAATCTCACCTCCCTCTGCCTAAACCTGTACATGTTTCCAGAAGCAGCAGAAAACAAGGGAACTGGGGAAAGGAATGAAGACAGGGCAAACATTACACAACGTAACTGCAAAGCAGAATTTTTTAATGTGCCAGCAAGAACTCTATTCAGAGCTAACACTATTACTAGTCTTCCACACACAAAAAAGACATAGTTGTTTGCAATAAAACTGCACTGTCATGGTTTAATTAGGCTAATGAATTTAACACAGTGATTATAAAACAAAGCTTCACATTCTTTACAGTTCATACTGTTGCAAAATTTTGCTCTGGTATTAATTGAAAAGTTAGGCTTTCTAGTGCAAGGCCATTTTTAAAACTGGTGCTTTTTCCTTGCAGCCCCTATTTATAGACTGCAGGGTATATTTTAAGAGTGACCCTGCATAATGAGAAACATAAATTTTGTTGGAAAAAAAGTAGTCAGAATTCACATTTAGATGGCTTTTTAAACTCCTGGACTAACTCATAACTTAACCATCACTTCATCAACTCCAAACAGTACCAGTATATTTTGGCAGGTGTGTAAATGAGCTGGAAATAGCATGTACATAAAGGCTTTGGTTTGCTATTTAATCAATTGCAGCAGCTGTTCTTTGCATTGCATACTATAGCAAAATAAAGATTATCACCTAAATAATTAGTAATGATGTGATGGCATAGTGCACTAATAGAGTTAGTGCACATAGAGTAGAAATGCATGGGTATTTTTATAACCTGGCATCAGTGTGTGAGTTCTTCTTTTTCCTCACAAAATCATGTACATTTCAGATTGTAATGCTTTCCCGGAAGTACAGCACTGCCTTCCTAATGTAATGCAGGAATGATGGGGATGCTCATGGTTGCCCCTCTGGACTGGCATGAGATCAGCTAAGCAAAAACCCATCCAAACTTACAGTCAGCAGGACTCAACTATTCTGAGGGCTGGGTGCAAAGAGAGGGAGCAGTTCTCATAACAAACTCACAGATAATTACAAATGGGCTTAGAGTTTTGCCGTACCTCAAGCCACAGCCTTTTGGGAATTGAAGATTTTGTTAGTGGTAGTATTGTTCATTTGCACATTTCCGGTGATTGGCTTAGCCTGAAAGTGGGCATGCTAAAATATGTGTCCTTATTTTATATCTGTAGTACTTCTGGCCTGGTATAGAGCTGGAATTACTGCAAATCTCCTGGGATCTTTTGTCTCTCCCACTGTTATCTGAAAACATATACTAAAACTCTTCTTACAATGTATATATCCAGCCTGGCCTCATTATTCTCAGGTGTCACTTGGAGCACTCTTTTGGCACATCTACAAAGAGTGCCTTATAACAGCAGTGTAATTCAGGAGATACTGATATGAGAGGCAATGGGGATTTAGTGCTTTAGGGACCAATGAGTCCTGGTGGCAGAAGGAAGATGGAAGCTAAGCCTGGTGAGGGAATTCAATTCATTGTGAGCGGCAACAAATGTTTTGCTGTAGGCCAAAACAGAAGTACATTGTCTTTTAAAGTTGAATTACCTTCTAATGTCTCTTCTTGATGTTTCTTCTACATATTGTACATAGTGTATTATTATGTTAGCTTCTCAGTCCTGAGGCCTGTGTTCAACATCCAGTTGAGATCACAAATAAATGGGAGTTGATCAATCAAATTGCATTCAATGGACATATTAAATGTCACAGAAACACCTTCCAATTGGCAGCGTTGAAGGTGAAAACAAAGCACTTTATATATTTAGGACATAATCTATCATTAGTCCAGAATGTACAAGAAAACCCACAAGACTTTTGTTATCTCTAATTTTGATGATTGCATAGCCAAGTCTACACTAAGAAAGAAAGTCAACTTAAGATATACAGCTCCAGTTACTTGAACAGCATAGCTGGAGTCGACGTACCTTATGTTGAATTTCTGTGACGACCCCACTGTGGGAAATTGATGGAAGAAACTTTTCCATTGACTTTCCTTACTCCTTGAAACCAGGTGGAGTATTGGAGTCAACAGGGGCAGTCAAGACCCACTAAGCTGATCCCCAAGAGATCAATCTCAGCAGCATCAATCTCCCGGTAAGCGAAGACAAGCCCTATGATGCAGTAGCAATAGTAATACGAATCAGGAAACAGGCCCATTAGAAGAGAACTATGTAACTATGTAACTATGTAACTATGAAAAGTATGTTTCAGTGGAAAAGGGCAGAAATTTAAGGCAGATCAAAGAAACAGTGCAAGGAATAACAAAACACACAAGCACCCACTAATCCCATAGAAACTTATTGTTTCTACATTATATGTAAAGGATATAACATGCTTATATATTTCAAACTAATATTTTATCAAAATGTATTTTAAGAGAGATTCTGAGGCCAATCTGCAAAAGGGAATATAATACTGTGCTAGTAGTGCGTGTGCCTTCAGAATAGAATTTGAAGAAGTCACCATAACAGTAGCAATGTCCTGGATCTATAAGATCGTAACAATATGAGCTAGTTGAAAGGTTCATAGGAAATTTTCAAATTTTCCATGGGTTTGAAATAGGCCCATTTTCTAGTTTATGTGAAATTTTCCTTGAGATTTTTATAGATAATTCAGATGTTCAGCAAAAACATTTTCAAAATGATTATGGAATTTAATGATTTCAAACAAAATTTGGATTAAAAATAGATTAAGAAGTTGTGGAAGCTTTTGCAAAATGAAAAATTTCAGAGATGTCACCAGACGTTCCACAAGAAGTTCTGTTTTTAAAGAGTAGTTTTTCATCAGAAAACCTTTTGGTGTTAAAATATTCCCCTCACTTTTATTAATAATTAAATAATAAATCGATTAATGAGGGCAGTTGAAGCAGTACTTCATCATCCCAACATCCATAAAAGCATAACCAAATTAAAAGAGGTGGTATCCCTAAGGATTTAGAGGAAATACATTCCATTTGCAATATGGGAAATCAGATAAACATTGCAAGATCCTGGACTGAAATCAATATTGCCAACCTTGAGAACTGAAAAATCATGAGGTACAGTCCTCCCACATCCCCATCATCCCATTGGCTTAAATTCATGATTTTTTTAAAATTGCCTTTTGATTTCTGAGTCTTTACAGTATATTCACTTCACACCGGCTGTTCCCTGCCACTTGGAGAACTAGAAATGTTTGCTTTTATGTGAAAGCATAGATGCTTGTGAAGTCTCTTAGCCCCCGTGTTGGAGATTAATAAAAACATCAAATATTGCAAGGCTCACAATAAAATTGCAAAAGTTGGCAACATTATGAAACTCACACATTCCAGTACAGGCTACCCACAGCATATGGGCATAGCAGAGAGAGACACCCAAGCAATAATATAATGAACCTCCTGGCTCCTTGACTGGCAATTTTGTTAATCTCCAATGGACTCCAAAATCCTTGTAGCACAGGAAAGGGAAGTACTGTCAGAGGGGACATGGCGCAGAAGAGAACTAAAGGCTGTGAGCGAGCAGAAGCAGCAGCCTAGGAGCTGTGGCTAAGGCGGGGCATCTTAGCTGCTTAAGAGCTGACAGCCTGTCTGGGAGAAGACATGAAGAAAGGCCTGAATGAAAGGATTAGATTCTGTCCGGGGGATCATCCAGGAGAGGGATGGCCTGATCTGAATATGCCCAGCACTAGACCTGAGAAGCCCCATCTTGATGAGTTGCCTTGAGGCTGAGTGCGGATGTGTATTGTTGTGGCTCATCTTTTGTTTGTAATTTGAACTACACTCTATATTTCTGGCAGCCCTATCAAAACAACCCTTTGTTGTCCATTAGCAGCTGTGGGCATTTATGGGAACTCACTGAAGGAAGAGCTTGAAGGGCATCTACACAGAGGTGGCATTAATTTTTCTCATGTGTCAATCTGGGGAGCTATGGAGTCATTCCAGATACTAACAGAGAGTGGGGTGAGCAGCAGATCTAAGTGACATTGCTGGGGCAAACTTTTTGCTGAAAAATGCAAATTTGGGTCAATCTAAATATTTTGTGAGTTTGTGTGGAATTTGCTAACTTGTTTCAGCTGAAAAAAACCTGAACATTTAAGCACTGGCATTTTCAATATAATGTACCAGTTATTTTATTCAAAACAATTTCTTGTTTTGAATTTTACCTCAATTGTATTTTTTTTAAATGGTTTTTAAAAGCCTCAGAATTGCAATAAAACATTTGCTTTGATATGAT